GCTCCGGCGGCGGCGGCGCTGACATCAACATGGCCGCCGCCGCCACCCCCCTCCGCGGCGGGGAACTGTGGGGAAATGCGGGTATTTACCCGAGCTGGCCCAAGTGGCAGCGAGCTGCGGCCCGGGCGAAAACGAGGGGGGCCACGGGGGGCGCCGAGCCGCCCCGCGCCGCGCTACGAGCCGCTCGCGGTGGGGAGGCTGCGGAGCCCCCCAACCGGGGGGGTTCCCCCCAAACTGCCCCCGCGGGCCTCACTCTGGGGGTGTCTCTCGTTGCAGGCCGGGTGGAAGGAAAACCACGCGACGTTTATGAGCGAGCTCAAAAACCTGCAGGCCGACGGGCTCACCACGCTGGGCCAGTCCCTCCGGACAGCCTTTGATTTATTAAACTTAAATAGATTAGTAACTGGCATAGACAACTATGGGCAGGTAGGTTGGCTCCGGACAGGAGCGGGGCCGAGGGGGGAGAAAAGATCCAAAGATCCAAGGAACACGTTGTCCCAAGGGCAGTCATAGTTGTCCAAAATGGCATCTCCACGAAACACTGAAAATACGGGGCTTCTGCGAAGGAAAAGCGGAGTTCGGGTAGTTTGAGGGAAAGTGGTAGCTGACTGTGTTTTTTTTTTTTTTTTTAACCTAACTTTCCTTTTCTGTTTCAGTTATTCTTCAGTTTTTAAATGCTGACTTAGCCTCCAAGTTGACCTTTTCAGTTAAACTTTGTCTTTTTTTTTTTTTTTTTTTTTTTGCATAACAAATCCTGTGCTTCAGAACCTTAGCTGATAAGCCTGGTGGGATTATGAGAACTTTCCCTTGCATATGCAGCGCTGCATAATCAATTAAGTACACCAAGAAAGGGGCTGCTTTTCCAAAGGCAGCTTCAGAAGGACTGACTCAAACATGTCTTTTTCAAAATCTTTCCAATGAGTTACTACTTTCTCTGAACACCTGCGTTTTTATAAAGCTCCTGGTTGTATCTGAGCCTTGAAGCTGTGGTTTTCTAGCGCCTGTGATGCAGGATGCCTGTGATCCCTTTTAAGCAGGACATCTTTTGGGGTGTTCCACATCCTCTTGCTCAGCAGCGTGTGCTGCGATAAGTCAGTGACTTTAAACATCTGCTTTAGGAAGCATACCCAGTTCTGTCTTGCACCGGATCGAACCTGGGTTTGTTCTGCGTAATAGTGGATATTATTAGGATCAGGCAAGTATACTGTGCATTTTTTGCAGAAGGAATGCTAACTGGAATCTGCCCATTTCACTTGCTGCTGTCATGCAAGAAATTGCTCTTCTGTCCGGGAATTAGTTGTTCCTCTTGGTGTTTTACATGGATATGTGGTTGTGGAAAAAGTTGTTGTCCCGCTCCACTCTCCTCCACCCTCCAGTTTGAGCACATTCTCTGTCATAACGTGCACTGTTTGCTAGGGGAAGCAAATTCGTCTCTCATGTTGCATTGTACGACTTTGCCACTAGGTGATCGAGTGAGCCTAAACATTTTTAAAATGCCAGCTTAGTGATGAAACTTAAAAAAAAAGAAAAAAAAAAGTGCTAGTTGCACACATGTCTTTTTTCTGTCTCTGGTCCCATCTGCTGTCCTTTTCTACATCTGTGCGCTAATCTCTTCTGCTTTCCGTGATTTTTGGATCAGTTGCATGAACAATACACATTTTTTTTAAAAAAAAATTTACAGTTCTAGGTATACACATTAAATACTTGCCGTTTATCATTGCTCTTGGCAATGTTTAAAATCTTAATTAAGCCCGTGTCAAATAATTTGCTCAGAGAGAACCAGTTGCGCTCAACTACTCAGTCAAGTGGGTGCAGAGTTCGTGTCATGACTGTTTTGACTGGGTACTGTTCATTCCTGCAAATAGCTGCTCTTTTGTCTGCCTGACAGTGGCTTTTCCTTTGTCTGGTTGGCTTTGATTGCCGGGGTCTCTCAGGGGTTGAACCCACCCCTGCTAATGTATCTTAGTTGCTCCGTTCCCTATAGGGAACACAGATGCTCAAATGAACAGACTAGATGCTGTCGTTTGCCTGCAGTAATAGATGGCATTAGAGCAAGGACCTGATGGTGTGCTGAAGTTCTCTCGTGCCAGGTCTGGTCCAGCTAATCAAACCAGCACGTTTTCATAAATCAGGTTAGATTTTGGAACACTTAGCTGGTCCCTCAGCACTCCTGGGATCAGTTTGAGGGCAGTTACCTGTCTGCACGTTCACACTGGCCTTTGAGGAATGACGTCATTGTTGAAGTAATTTTCTTTGCTTAAGAAAAATGTACTTTCAAACATACATGCCATGAAATACTTAAGAATTCAGGGTACTAGAAGCACTCAGAGCCCTCAGTTATGTTTAAAATAGTTTCTACGCAAAATATAAAGTACTGATTTGTTTTTGAAGAGTTAAAAAAATATTTATTTTGATCACTTAACTATAATACAGCAGACAGAAGTGCTTAAAGAGTGATTCTCTTAGGGTGGAGGAAAA